GGAAGGGGGGTGCCTTGTTTTCTTGTGGGGGGGGGGGGGGAGGGGGGTCAACAGTGGGAGGGCTTCTAATGTTCTGGCCCCACTGGTGGACCTGATGTCACCTGGTATTTTTGGCCACTGCGTGACAGAGTGTTGGACTGGATGGGCCTTTGGCCTGATCCAACATTGGCGTCTCTTATGTTCTTATGTTAACTTTCCCCCAGAAGGCAGGAACAATAGAAGCACTGTGGATGTCAGAGAGCGGCTACAGCTCAGCGGAAGAGCATCTGCTTGGCATGCAGAAGGTCCCGGGTTCAATACTCGGCATCTCCAGTTAAAAGGACCAGGGAGGAGGTGATAGGAAGCACCTTTGTCCGAGACCCCGAAGAGCCATGACCAGTCTGAGCAGACAATACTGACTTTGATGGACCGACGGTCTGATTCCGAGGAAGGTAGCTTCATATGTGACAGGGAAGGAAGAGGGACTGGCCCCACTCCAGCAACTCACCAGGGTCATGATATCGTTTGCCAAGTCTCGAGCCAAATCTGGAGTCACGAAACAGGACAGACCGGTCAGTGCAACTCCAGTATCATACTGATTAGGGCTACTGAGATCCTGGGGGGAGGGGGGGGGGGGGGGGAGAGAAAGAGGAAGAACAGCTTTAGTCTACCTGGCAATCCCAAATTTCAAATCTAGCACCAGAGTTTAACATGTCCAAGCAACGCACCACTTCAGACTACCTGCAGAAAATATTTTTAAAAGCTGAGTGCCTTAATTGTTCTACAAGCTACAAGCATGGACGGCTTCAAAAGGGAATTAGATAGGCATATGGAGCAGAGGTCCATCAGTGGCTATTAGCCACAAGGTATAGATAGGGACTCTGGGGCAAGGGATGCTCTGTATTCTTGGTGCTTGAGGGGGTCAACAGTGGGAGGGCTTCTAATGTCCTGGCCCCACTGGTGGACCTCCTGATGGCACCTGGTATTTCTCGCCACTGTGTGATACAGAGTGTTGGACTGGATGGGCCTTTGGCCGGATCCAACATTGGCGTCTCTTATGTTCTCCATCTACAGTGTGTCATGTCCCCCCCCACGGTCCCCCACATCGGCAGACAACCTTTTAATTACAGAGAACCGCTTTGGGAGACAACTTGTCTTGTGAAGTGAGATAAGAATAAGTGAGGGAAGAAGGAAAAGCACAAGGATGAGAAACCACACCAGGGGAGGAAGACTTACACAGAAGCAACTACGAGTAATGGCATCTCAGCAATGATGGAGCAGTCCCTCCCCCCCCCCATCCAGAATGGAGCCACTCACCTTTCGGATCTGGTTGGTCGTCAGCATGATGACATCCGTTCCTTCGTGGAAGCACTGAGAGGAGGCCAAGTATCCAATCCTCTGTGCAGTGAAGGGAGAGAACAGTGTGAACCAAGGGCTGAAATAGCCACATTATCCTCATCTACGCAGGGGTCCGGCAGCAGACTAGTATATACATAGCGTTCTGCAACTTCACAGCTGGTACAAGAGGGAGAGCTACAGCGGGGCAACTATCAGGGCCGTGACACGAGGCCACGGGAGTACTGAGCTTTCTTGGAATCTCAGCTCCTGTTTGAAGGAGGGGCCCTTCTGGTTATGAAAATCACATTCGGAAGCGTGCAAATAAAGTTAGGCAGAATTTCAGAACCCAGGATAGTGGCTAAATCCAGGAGGTGGGGCCTCAACTGCCTACATACTAGCAAAACCCAGAGTAAATGGCGTGGACGTGCACCATCTGAATCCAGCTTTGCTTGGCTCCAGTGTTCCCTCTAAGCTGAGTTAGTGTGAGCTAGCTGACAGTCTTTTAGCCTTCGGCTCACACATTTTTTGTCTTAGCTCAGGAAGGAGGGCTCCAGAGCAAACTAATCCATGCAGTAGCCAAATCACCTGCTCATCACTTTAATGCCAGTAGCTCACAAAGTAGAAGTTTTGCTCACAGGACTCCACCGCTTATAGGGAACATTGCAGTTGGAATAAATAATAAATAAAATCAAACAGAGGGCTAGTTCTAGCTTCTCCTAGACCAGGAAGTCTGAAGATTACAGCCCCATTAAATGCTGTGTGTGTGTGAGCGCACACGTCAGCTGTTAGCAGCCTTGAAGAAAACAGGTTAAGACTCGGCCAAAGGAGGAAATTTGGCAATTCAAGTTTGAAGACTTACTTTAAAGGTAAACTTTGATGCGCTCATGACTTCGATAATATTGAAGGCAGCCCAGCTGATGTCATAACCCAACATTTGCAGCTGTAGGGAACAAGAGAAAAATTTCAGACAAGAAGGGCTAAAGAAACGATCCTGTGGACTTCAACAAGCAACTTGATACCCAGCCTTTGGGCTTGGTGCCCGAAGCAGCATCTGCATCGAACAGGCACAGGAAATCCCCTGTGTGCAGAGTCAGCTGGTCCTTCTCACCGAGTCCTGCCTACTCCAATTGGAAGAGGCTTTGCGGAGTCCTTCCCCACACTTGCGACTGGAGATTCTTTAACTGGGGGTTCTGAGGATTGAACCTACACTTCTCTGCATGTAAAAGAGATACTCCACAACTGGACTGTGGTTTCTCCATGAAAGGGAGATGGGTCACAGGCTTACTCCATTCAATACTGTCCACTCTGGCTGGCAGCATCTCTCTAAGGGTTCAGGCTAAGAAAGGTCATTCCTAACACTTAGTATCCCAGAGCCTTGTGCCTGAATCCGGGACACAATGTGCTTCTCCACGGAGCTATGTTCACCCCCTCATTAAAGTAGTAACAATGGTAACAATGGAGGAGAAAAAAATGATCTCAACGGTATTTGAAAGAGAGAAAAAGCAAATATTTACAGGGCTATTTTGGGGCAGGAACGCACAGGAACAGAGTTCCGGCTGGCTTCAGAGTTGCCCACGCCCACTACAGCCAAAATCTCTGCATGCGTGGCTACAGAGGGAAGGCCTGGAGAGCACATATTTCTCTATTTCCTCTTACAACATTAGGATTTGGAGAAAACCAACAAAGCTTAATAGCATTAAGTTCAGAATAAACTGAAGGAAGGACTTCTTTACCCAATGCAAAATTCACTGGTCAAACTCATTTCTGCAAGAAATGGTGATGGTAACTGGCTTAGATGGTGTTTAAAAAAAGAGAGACTAGTCCAGTTCATGGAGGTGAAAGTCTACCAACAAGTATTCGCCTCAATAACCAAAATTAAACCTTCAAGTCTAGATATACTGTATCCCATGACGGTGAGGGAGCACTTCAGCTTCTTGGCCTGCTTGTGGGCATCCTGGAAACATTTGCTGGAAACCAAATGGGCACTGATCTGATCTGGCAAGGTTAATTCTTGGAGAAGTAAAATTCTGAGAAATTTTGAAATCAGATGTTTTGGAGAAAGTTGACCATTTCACTGCTTTAAACAAAAAATGTACAAATTCTGATTTGTTCTAGATTATACTGTTATGCCCTATGCAACCTTAGGACATGTATCTAAGTTTTTACCAAGTAGAACCCATAAATTTTGTAGTTTCAGTTGGGTAGCCATGCTGGTTTGCGGCAGAGGAGCAAGATTCAAGCCCAGTTGTACCTTAAAGACCAAAATGGCTTTGACTCTCAAATGTTTATACCCTGGTAATACTGTTGGTCTTTAAGGTGCTACTGGGACTCCTGCCCATACATTTTGCAGTAAACTAAAGTGTGCTATGTGGACAGAAATGCTCAGTCACATAAAGGCTAGCACATACTTGTATAAAGGTAAAGGTTACCTTGCTCGAAAGCCAGTCGAGTCCGACTCTAGGGTTGCGGTGCTCATCTCTGTTTCAAAGCCGAAGAGCCAGCGCTGTCTGAAGACATTTCCGTGGTCATGTGGCCGGCATGACTAAACACCAAGGCGCATGGAATGTTGTTACCTTCCCACCAAAGTGGTACCTATTTATCTACTTGCAATTTCTTGCTTTCGAACTGCTAGGTTGGCAGGAGCTGGAACTAGAGACGGGAGCTCACTCCGTCATGCGGCAACTCAGGTCTCGAACTGCTGAACTACCGACTTTCCACAGCCTGCAGTTCAGCGTCTTAACCACTTGAGCCACCGCAGCTCCTACATACTTGTATAGAGGTAACCATTGTAACAATTGTTCAGTGGTGTATTATCATACACATTACAGCATATTAATTGTGAATAAAATTAGTCACACCTAAACATACACTCGAAAATATTGCACACTTCTGAAGTTCACATAGGAATTATTCTCCAGTGCTTTAGACTAAAAAACCCTTTATATAAAATATTATGAATAAAATTGTTTCATAAAAAGCATTTCACTCCGTTCAAAAGAAAAGAGAAAGTTCTCATAAAGCCTATTTCCCCCTCTTTCCTTAATTTTTCCGGGTTTTCACGTCTCTATTCTTTCATCCCACTGAAACAAATTTCACATTTAGCATGAGTCAAAGCCTCATCCATTGTGTCCCCCAAAGGAAATAAAAAATTCTACTGCAGGAATGGTTGCATACAGGGACAGTCCTAGCCCTCCAAAGAAACAGGCAGATTGACCCCTAAACAGGGAAGGATGGAAGGCCATGAAAACATACACCTTACCCAAGGGAGATACTCACATAGGTAAGCTTGCAAACAGCATTTGCTTTCACTGCAATGTTATCCTGCTTCAGCTCTTGCTTGATCTCATCGATGCACTGCGAGATGTACTTTGCCTACAGGGAGAGAAGGGGAGGAAGTCAAAAACTCCTGCTTGGCCAATATTCCTGAAATCCACTATTTCAGAGCCACGTCTCACTCCTGTAACTGAGACATGCCAAAATACTTCAAATGCCTCTGCTGAAATGCAACAGGATTAATCCGCTACACCATCTCTCTATGAGGCACTAAAATGCATATTCCCTGCCTCGTAATGGACACAATGGGCAACTTCCCCTGTTCGGGCATATCTCTGTAGCAAGTGCCATTGAATCTTTTCATCACTCCTAATGCAAGAGAGACAGCAACATTTCCTTATCCTTTAGAAGGCCAACCTCCCAGGGAGTCTCTAATCTCTTGCACACTCTTGATTCTTTCAAGACTGGTAACCAGTATGAGAAATATCATGCTAGTTGATCACAGTTGATGGTGCAGGCACAATTTCTTGGTAAAGAAACTCAGCAAAGCTTTTTGCTCACATACAGCAAACCAAAGTACTGAGTGGGGTTTTATTCCCAGAGCCATGCGACAAACTGAGAAAGTTCAGATAAGGACAATCAGTTCCAGATGCTAGGTAAGAGCTTCCCATTTTCTGGTGAAGCCAAAATACTTTCCCCAAAGACCATCTCTGAAGCTTATGCTTGTGCTGAATTTTGGGCTGATGCGCACAGAACAGGTAATGCACATCAGCAACTGGGATACTTTCAACCCAAATTAATGTGCGACTGAACAACAACAAAAAACTGGGATACTTTCAACCCAAATTGTGGGCAATTGTACTCCAACAAAGGGAGTTGGGCACCCCAGATATATCTTATCCCTCCTTAGCTTAACAATAACTCCAACAAAGGGAGTTGGGCACCCCAGAATCTATATACCTTATCCCTCCTTAGCTTAACAATTTGTCTCAGCCAGAATACTAGTCACAACCACAGACTTAATAAGTTTGAGACTTATTTTCAAGGCTACATTCCTGGTTTTAGTAAAGAATGCATCAGTGGAGTAGCCACACTAAGGCGGAATCTGCATTTGTCTTTCCCACCAGAGTCCCAGCCTTCTGATTCCGTCCACATCCACATATGTTTATCGTCGTTTGGGGCGGCTCCACTGTCATTGCACCTCCACACTGCTTTAAAAGAATCTTCTCCAAACAACATTCAAACAAGCGTAGAGAAAGACGGCGTCACAGCAGCATGAAAATGATTTTAAAATGCAAATGCAGATACGGCCTAAGTCTTCTTGGTAGAGGAAAGTACATCGAGTCAACTGATGTATGACTATCCCGTAGGGTTTTCAAGGCAAGAGAAATTCAGAGCTGGTTTGCCCCTGCCTGCCTCCCGGTCATAACCCTAATATTCCTCGGGGGTCTTCCATCCAAGTACTAGACAGGGCTGACTCTGCTTAGCTTCCGAGATCTGACAAGTTTGGGTCAATCAGGTCAGGGCAGGTCTACTTGAGCTAAACAAAAGAGTCTAGTGGCACTTACTTCTGTTTCATTTTACTAGAGAAAAAAAAGTACATCGGGCAGGTCTTTGAGCTAAACAAAAAAGTCTAGTGGCACTTATTTCTGTTTTATTTGACTAGAAAAAAAGAGTCCATCATGATCGGCAGTGTGTGTCTGGAGAGTAGCGCCTGTATGCCAAATGGTGATGGTCAACAGATCTCTTAGATTGCATGCAGTGATTACGTGGGTAACATACTGAGAGTGTGGGCTAGATACTGGCTTTTATAAATCAGAATTCTGATCAAAGACTTTCCACCCCAAGTACTGATAGAAGAATATGGAATCTGTCATTGAAAAGGAGACAGGCTGAGGAGGTAAAGTTCAAGGGCTCTTCTTGTAGCTGGAGATAAGATCAGGCAGGAGACTGGAACTATGAATCCTCCTGCTGATACGGGACAGTCTTGGCAGAGACAGACACCAGTCCATAAACAAGAATCTAGCACAGGAACTTTTCCAGTCCCAACAACAGGACCTTGGAGAATTTAAGTCCAAGCACGCACACAGCCTCGCTCCCCCCCCCCGCATTTTCCAGCCCGTGTGACCGGGGCCCATGATCGGCAGTGTGTGTCTGGAGAGTAGTGCCTGTATGCCAAATGTACCGGGATGGTGGTGGTCAACAGATCTCTTAGATTACATGCAGTGATAACGTGGGTAACATACTGAGAGTGTGGGCTAGATACTGGCTTTTATAAATCAGAATTCTGATCAAAGACTTTCCACCCCAAGTACTGATAGAAGAATATGGAATCTGTCATTGAAAAGGAGACAGGCTGAGGAGGTAAAGTTCAAGGGCTCTTCTTGTAGCTGGAGATAAGATCAGGCAGGAGACTGGAACTATGAATCCTCCTGCTGATACGGGACAGTCTTGGCAGAGACAGACACCAGTCCATAAACAAGAATCTAGCACAGGAACTTTTCCAGTCCCAACAACAGGACCTTGGAGAATTTAAGTCCAAGCACTACTGTTGGATGGGAGACCCCCCCATAACAATCAGAGGAGATAGAACAGAAAGCCACTGTCAAATATTCACACTGCATAAACCACAGCCAGCCCCGCTCCCAAGCCAGCCAGTACGAGGCCACCTCTCTGTACTCTCTGCCGCTTCAGCACTGCGCACGCACACAAAATAAATTAAAGTTTCTGGAAAAGGAGTCTGGGGGTGGGAGGCTGGAAGTCAACAGTGCTGCCTGACCTTTGACACAGGACCTAAAAGGACTAGCAGAAATGCCCACTGGCATGAGTGGGAAAGAAGCTACAAAATCATTTACCCACTGAGTGTCAAGGCTGAGTAGGGTTTTAAATGCAGGTCTCTCTGTTCTTAGTCCAAATGCTATTCCCACTCCGGCCTCTCCAAGATCAAGCGGCATCCCTAGTCGTGCAACTCACTGTTTTTCAAACTAGCAGAGCCAACACGGTGGAGTGAACACATGGGCATGCTTGCCTTCAAACATCTGCTTGGCCAGGGAGCCAGGTGACCTTGGATCAACCACTGCCTCTCAAGCTTAACACCTTAAGAGGGCAAGGACAGAGTCATACACATGCTGCCCTGAGCTCTTTGGGGAAGATTCATGAAAGCTTGAAAAGAAAACTGTGTCATGATCTGGGCTGTGCCACCAGAGGCCTACCAGGCCCAGGGAGCCTGGCTAGCAGTAGGTGACAACTCCCAGAAGCCCCTGAGAGGTTTTGGAGCTAAAATTGACTAACAGGAAAAGAGGAGGGCTTGGAATAAAAGATCTGGAGCAGCAGGAAAAGCTGTTCTTCTTCCGAGAGGGCAGAGCCAGAAGGAAGCCTGCTGCAGGGAAGAAACCCTCATTTTGAGGGAAGGGTGAGTAGTCTAAGGCCACTGCAGATAGTGAGCTACGGACAGTATATT